GCTGTTTTGCTTCATCTGATACTTAGTAACTGCAAACCCGTTTCTAGCACCGTATTCATTAAAATAGTCGTCTATCTCATCCCACGTATTGAAACATATGTCCTTATGAATATTCTCTGAAGAGACTATAATTGGATCTATTTATTGAAGGTTATTAGTTTATGCATGTAAGTTTGTATTTAGAAAAGAGCCAGATTTTGGGTTCTTGAATTGGTCGGTTTTGTATATTGCTGGCAAGACTTTTGAGCAATTCTAATATGTCCGGTGAGATTTTTAAGGGTTGTGGTTTGGCCAACAAATATAATTGAATGCTGCAAAGGTAAAACCTGAAAATTTTATAATATTTCAGGTTTTTCCTTTTCGGCATACAATTATGCAGTATGTTTCTAATAAGACTTTTCAGGAACCAATTCGGTAAGCTATAAACTCAAAGGCAAAATCTGGTCTGTTCTTATTTGCATATTTAAATTCTTACTATTTTCGTTATTTTTATTGTGTTCAACATTTTCCATTTGTATTGCGGATGTACTATTCAACTCCTCTAGATTATCGTTTTCGAACGTAACTAAGACAGAAACCAATTCGGTAAGCTATAAACTCAACACCAAATATTTGGTATGTTATTATTTGATGTTTTAATTCTTACTATGATTGTTACTCTCCATTTGTATTGCGGATGCACCATTCAACTCTTCAAGATTATCATTTTCGAATGTAACTAAGGCATTCATTGGTAAGTTTTGATTTATAATTCATAAGTTCGTTTATATACAACTTATGATATTGTTCAACTAATTGACTAATTTCATTGTCTGTAAGGTTAAATGAGTTTATTTTGGCAGGCAGTTGTATATTTTTCTATATAGTGTGATAGTTTTGTATTCTATGTGGTTTGCTTATAGCTTTTTTTTTGAGGTTATTTGAGTGACAATTTTGTATTTTTTTTGATATAATGTGATTATTCTGTACAATTTTTTTCTAATATAATGTGCGATTACCTTTACTATTCAACTTTAAATCTTGTTATAACAAGTTTTTTTAAATTTAATTTAAAGAATGCGATGCTATTATATCTCGCTTTATTGCCAAATTAGTAAATAATATATTTTTAGTCAATCAGATTTTATGTTAATATGCAATGCTAGATTTAATTGCTCCGCGCCCTGCTAGATAAACATTTATCCTTATTTATTTTAAAGAAAAAATTCTAATTAGATCAAATAGCATAAGGTAACTAATATATGTCTAACCAATTGTAAGTCTTGTTCTCTATCATAATTCTTGCAAGTCACTAAAGTGAATGATAATATCTGATTCTATAATTGTTCCAGAATCTAAGTCTTAATAAGCCGAGTCAAAGTTATCAGTCAATTCAGTCCGTCAAATTGAGTCTCGAAAGGGTTTATCAAAGTTACAAGTTGAATTCAAAGACAATATGCAAGGGAGTATTCAGATAAGTATTTATTTTATTT